TATATATATTAATCAAGTCCAGAACCTCTACAGCATTTGTGTCCTTGTGATACTGATGTACTCCAGAGCAGTTCATAATGTTGTCACTAACTATTGTCCTCACCAGGAGCGAAACGCTGAGGATGCCATCGAGGCGCTGAAGGAGTACGAGCCTGAGATGGGGAAAGTGTACCGGCAGGACAGAAAAACTGTGCAGAGGATCAAGGCCAGAGACATCGTCCCGGGGGACATCGTGGAGGTGGCTGGTAGGTCTCCTTATCATCTCCTCTCCTCTTCTGTTCTGTTTAAAGCACTTTTTATCTCACAAAACCAACATTACAACATGAGGAGGAAGAGGTGAAACACAGCTTTCTCTGCACATCCAGTAAACAAATACTCAGTTTAGTTCAGGTTAGCAAGAGATAAAACCTAAACTGTTTATCCACAGCCTCTCTCTTTCTTCTTGAAGATAAGAAGCTGTCTTTGTTTTCACATGATACGACATATAGTATAGACCTCTAATAAGACCTTCTCTGGGCTGACCGCACACATCCAGGTAGAGTTTAGCTCAAAACTCTCCATCCCAAAGAGCCACTGCAGAGGTGACTCACCCTGTGAGAGTGGAGTATTTTGAGATGTTCCTATTAACCCATTGTCTCTAAGGGGGTGAGTGCAAACTCTATTAAGACCTGCTTGTGTGTGTGTGTGGTGGCGGCGGGGGGGCACGTTTTTCCTACACCGTGGGAACCAATTTCCAGAAAAAGGCAGCCTGGTCGGAACCAAAGCCCGTGGGGGGTTGGATTTAGGRCCAAGGTGTGAATTGAGTTTAGGTTAGTTTTAGGGTCAGGTAGGTACTTGTGAGGTTAATTTTAGGGTAAATGGTCAGGGTTAGGATATAAAATTACCAYAAAATGAATGGAAGTCAATCCACGGTCCCCACAGGGATATAAAAGCAAACCTGTGTGTGTGCAGTAAGCTGGAGATCAGTGTGGTGGAAAGCACCTCCTGCATCCTCCCTATGTTTCCCATCATCATGTTGAGTTCTTTCTGATGAGGTGTAGTCAGCGTATTCTGCAGCTGAACTCCTCAGCATGTGAAGCTTTGATTTAAAAAATAAATAAATAATAAAATACAGTTTCCCTAGTTTCCCTATCAGCTTATCAGTATGTCTGCAGAGGAATGAATGAATGAAACTGCAGTGCTGAGGAATGCAGGAGTCCTTAAAGCACGAGCTTTATCTTGATACTCAGTTTGACCTTAAGCCACAGAAGTGATGCTTAGATTTTCTGCACATAGTGGTAGGTTTTATTTTTAGCTGCCACGGACCGTTTCGATTCTGGAATGCTGTATTTATAGAGGCACTGACAGTCGTGAAAATGACAGCTGTCTGGTCCCACACCGTGTGTGCCCCTACCTTCCTAATCAGGGAACATTGCTTCAGCAGGACTTTAGCGTTCACCTTGACAAGGACAGAGACAGCAGAAAGGTACAGTTTAACCTCTGTTAGTTTTAGTGCTCTAATTAACTTTCAATGAGAGTGCGAAGCGAGTTAGAAGAATATTTGGCTTGAGTTGGGAAAGAAAACCCTGTAAAACCCTTAGATGAAAGCAGCAGAGTGCCTCTCTGTCAGCAGCATGAGGCTTGGTTGTAAAAAGCCCCCCCCACCTGCCCTCCCCCCCCAGCAGGCAGCAAAACTGGACGTTTTATCCTGCAGTCAGGACGAGCTCATCAGTTCTCCATGCTTAATAAATCTCCCACGTATCGTTCACAGTGCCTCCTGTCAGGCTTCCTCTTCATGAGGAATATTTTCCCCGAGCTTCAAAGGGACTGTGCCATGTGGAGGAGTGTGATGACGCAGACGCTGGCTGGCCGGCTGCTGCCGAGCGCAGAGAGGAGCCCTCTGAGGCTGCCTGGTCTGTGACAAGTGCCAGCAGTCAGATCTGTGTCGGGGGGTTTAAAGGGCCTGTGACATGCCTATCCTTCAAATATAAAAAGTCGAAGAAAATACTTTCATATTCAGGAAAATAGTCATAGTACACATGATTTAACCCATTTTTTTCACATAACTGGCATATTTTCCTTTGAACTTGGCTCAGCTGAAGTGAAACAGGAAGTGACAACAAAGGGGAACTCTTTAAGAAAGAAAACTTTGTTTATTAAAACAATATTTTTTAACCCTTACTCTTCTTCATCTCTCTCTTAAAGGGACTAAAATTATCTAAACTGTTCATCTCAGTAGTGTGAAGTAGCATTTGCAATATGTTATCGGTGTTATCTTTCCAAAAGTGCAATCACATTTATCACAAAAATTTGATGTCACAGGCACTTTAACCGTGCTTTTTACTCATGCCAGATCACTTCACAGGTTCACAGCCACAAAATGTGCTGCACTTTTAATCCATTGTGATATATTTATCAGACTTTAAACAACAAAATATGTTTGCTCCAATAATTATATTCAGATAAGTTATTTTAGTGCCTCGTTTTGCCAGACTTAATAAATATAATTTATGTATTAACTCCTGTGTGCTGTCAGTTTACTGTTTTGACGTTAACGTTCTCTGAGCTCAGTGGGTTTGTCCTCTCCTGTCGTGTTGGGGAGTCTGGTGGTTATTGGGGGGGGGGGGGGGGGGGGGGGGGGGGGGTCGAGGGGAGGATCTCCCATCTGCTCCTATTGTGCTGGAGACAGAGTGAGATGACCTTAAAGGGAAGCACTTTGCTGATAAACGTCCCACCCCACCACGCTGCGTGTACTTCTACTGTACCCAGCAGCAGGATTCCAGACCCCGGGGACAGTGTGTGGCATTGACTGTGGTCTGGCAAGCCTCTGCTGTCACTGAGCAACAGTCTTTTGGCAGCAGTTCCTGGCTTTTCAGCAGGTCCAAGAGAAACGGTCTCATTTAGCCAAGAAAGGAGGAGAGGCTTTCGTACGYGCTGACCTGTTGTACAAACCAAACAGTGGCATCAAATCCCATAACCCATGAGGGTTTATTTACACTAGAACAGTTTCTGGAGAAACGGTGAGGAATGCCAGCTGCCAAAAATTCCTACATCATTTTGTAAAAAATCTAAGCTTCTAAAAGGAAGAAAGAAATGTTGCTATATGAACTTTATAAGAAATAAAAAAAGACCCAAGATCATAGAAATGTTAAAACTTATTATGACAATGGCTCATTATGATTACTGTTTTTTATTTTTTGTTTTTTTTACCGTGTCCTGTCCGGCAATGTGAAACTCAGAACTGATGTCTGAGTGTCCAAATGAAGCCCAACAGTTTTACGTTCACAAGTGCAGCATAAAGACATTTCACCATGATGCTCCACTTGTTATATATTTATTATTAATCCCTTTTGTGATTAATTTATAACAAACACCGAGATGGAAAAGGTAAAACAAAGAAGAGAAAAGGGAGGAAAGYGAAAAAAAGAGATAGCAAAGGAGACAAGAAGATATGAGAGAGATGCATAAAGAAAACACAAGACAACACATTTGAAGTCTGCCTCCACACCTGCAACAAGAGAGAAACAAACCATGGTAACCACACGTGTGTGTGTCACTCCCTGACAAGTTAACAAGGCAGACAGGGTGGCAAACTCATCTAAAAACAGTGGCAGTGTAAAAACTAWAAGTTGGAACTTAAAAGTTCTTGAACTGTGAGCAGTAGTAGACTCTGAAGGTCACACTTGTGAATTTTTATGTTCCTTGCAGTGTTTTATGTAGAAGATATGATAAATTAAATGATCCAACTCTGTGGTTACTTCCAGTTTGGAAGAGAATATTTTCAGCTAAAAGTTAGCTGAATTTGTGCACACTTGGATGTGCACTAATAAAAAACCTGAGGTTAGTCAGATATCTGTGGAAAAATCTGCAAAAATCACAACAAACAACATTTTAGCAATATCAAAACTCCAGTTCAGACTAATAAAATCCAACTTTCTGGCACATTTTGGTGTATAATTTGAATAAAAAATTTAACAGATTAATAATAAGGCTACTTCAATGCTTTTGTCTTGGCATCTGTAATTATGCCCATATCTGAAAWATGAATGTAAAGTACTTTCTGTTACAGCTGCAGTCTTTGACTGATGGAGCTTCTTGGTTTACAGACTCTTGGCTCAACAAGTCTTCAGCCTTGTTAACTCTGTCTTGTGCTGACTGCTGGGAATCCATGGAATGCTGTCTCGTTACAAATGAGCCATTGAAATGTGGATCTGAAGCCCAGGAGCGCTTCTGTGAGGAGTCATAACTGAGAGTGTTGAACTTGAGACGTGTGGTGAACATGCCCTTCTGACCTGCTGTTATCAGGTTAAACTGATCAGCCCTGTCTTCATGTTGACACTTTATCTCCTGTAACTAGTTTGTAGAACTTTGTTGATGTAGAATAACTTGGAGTGGTGTAATAGCAGACTTGAGAAGTGTTGTGGTTGATTCCATGAGATCAGTGMTATGTTTACTATATGTRATTAAAGGTGTGCACCTTTATTACTAGRGCTGTGTATTGGCAAGAATTTGGCGATACGATGCATATCATGACAGAGGGGTCACGATACGATATATCGCGATACTGTAAACAAGGCGATATATTGCGATATTTTTGTCCAAAAATTCTATTAAATAAAAACCTCTTACCGAAAAAAAAGAAAAACCAAAATTCATTGTCTCAGAAAATTGTAATATTACAGAGACATGCTTTTGATACATTTAGCTGTGTTCTGCTTTGTATGTGTTTTATTTTATTTGTTTCATATTTCTAATTTAATCCATGTTTTCAATTGTTAGACTAAATTTACCAATAAATAGTTTGAAAATATATTTTTTGAAGATTTTAGTTTTTAATATTAGTTTACAATTTGGTCACCCAACACTTAACAATAGBCTTTATGTTGTCATAAAGTTCAGTAAACAGATGATATGAAGCTGCTGCACAGAGTTTCTGGGATCAGCTGACCTGCATCCAGAACCTGATTGGTATAACTGTGGGTCGAACAGCAGGGCAGGTCCTGAAGAAAACCAGTTAAGAAATGGAGAAGCTAAACGAGTTAAACTGTTTTTGAAGCAAACACAGCAGGATAAAGTATATGGACTTTGATGTGATCATCAGCCGGACATTGAGAGCAACAGACAGAGTTTTATGTCACGGAGGGAGTACCGAGCTCAAGACGCTAGATGCATGCGCCATATATATGCCTGCCTGCCTTCCGCACAAGACACTTAATTTGTCTTAAAATACAGACATTGTGACAAATAAGTAACTGTTTGTAACCTYACCTCAGCTTAGAAGGCAGAGGGTGTCAGCCTTTTCTGCTCAGATTCAGCTATCGGAGCATGAAGCTAATGTTTACTTACAATGCTAATGCTCTCTTACTCTCTGGCGCTCAAGAGGTAGAGGAACCAAATGGCTGGCTCACTGCTACCAACTAGTGGTCAGAGGCTGAACTACAACATAAAAATGAAYGGCTGGCAGGAAAGTTGACATTTTAAACCTTAATAAAAAATCGATACAGGGCTTTAGAATATTGATACAGTATCGGGACATGAAATATCGCGATATTTCAGTGTATYGATATTTTCTTACACCCCTATTTATTACCATTTAGCTATTTTTGTTTATCATTCCTCCTGCAGCTTTATAAAAACACATCAAAACGTGAGTTTATTGGGAACAGGGTGCTGACGTTTGTGAACAGAATATTGTGTTGCATAGAAAATTATCAAAAAAAACAACGTTTTGCATACACAGCAGTGGGGTTTTGGTGAAATGAGTGAGAAAACTCAGCCATCTCTGAAGACTCTCAGGCAGCTCATTCTTCACTGAATCYAGAAAGCTCTTCAAACAAGAAGCTAAAGGTCTGTTACTAACGAGAGACTCAGTCTGTTTGCGTCTATTAAAACGTCTAATATTTACAGCGGGGGGAGGGGTACCGGAGTCTTCAAAGCAAACTTGTTCCCACGTTTCTCCACTTCTTACAGTTTATATCTTCTGTCAGATCAGATTATTATCAATTATTTTTGGGCTTTACAGAGGAACGCTGACATACAGATTCTAGTTTTAATGCAGCTTTACTAATAACCAGTTAATTCTGGCTTGACCTCTATTTTTTGCGCTGGAATATATTTTTTTGTTACTGTAGCGACTAAAACTATCGTGCTACCTAGAGACTGTCTGCTTAAGTTTCAAAACAAARACAGCAGAAACGGTCTGAAGAAGACAAGGCAGAGGTGGATCGTAGGTGGGAACTGACTCTACAAGTTAGCTGACATGTTTACACTTGTTGCAGGGTTTTTTGTTTTTTAGCTGGATGTCAAACCGTTCAGTGGTTAAATATTTMTTTGTTATCCAGCCAACTGTTAACTAAACATCAGTCCTCTGCTGACATTGTCACAAGTGGAAACAAAAGACTGGAGTCTTGAATATTTGGCTAGTCACAGCAGTAGTTACAAAAGTAAACAACACATTAGTAGAAACAGTTTTTTTTTTGTTTCTCATAGCTTCACTTGTCTAGTGTATAACACACTAGAGGAAAATCTATTTCAAAGGGAGAAGAAGCAGTGAAAGGTTTATCACCTGTTTGTGAGGACTGAGTATTTGTTTACTGGATTTACATGTATGTAAAAAGCAGCTGGCGAGTTTGTTTTTTAGTTTAAGATGTGTTGAAAAGCTGCAAGATGCCTGTTCCCTGCAGTGAAATGGTGTTGTGAGCATGAACGGGGAGGTCAGTGTTTTGTTCAGCTGCCATCAGCACATGTAGCCTCCTGGCTGGCTCRAACACTGGCTGCTCTCTGACACCCAGCAGCTGCAGGTGCCAGTCAAAGCTGGCAGCTCTGCCTCACCTGCTATTTAAAGGGCTGCTTAAAAGGCACCTTTGGGAGTCATTTTGGGTGCAATGTGTCACCAGGTGTGAGCTCATTGTACTGTAAAATGTCTGACTCCTGGACTGTAAGACACGTCGGCAAATACAGCTTTAAAGGGGAAAAAAATAAGTCCAAAGCGTTCGTGCCTGAGATGAAGTTTGGACTGCGCCCAAAGAGGATGTTGACGTAGAAGGACGAAGGATATACACGTTTCATCAAAGCGGGATTAAAGTGACACTTGGGACGGTTCCAGCTTTTAACAGCATCTTTAAAAAGGASCGGGACCCTTTTTGTACGGGATCTAAAGCGAGAGCTGTCGTTACTGTCCCTCTGCTCCTGCCTCTTGGCTCAACTGAGACGCTGTTTATCTTTGAAAGGAAAGACAGAACAGGAAGTGTATTTGTGAGCTTTGTGGCTTCCTGGAGAAATTCTCTGTTCTTGTTAAAAACATTTAATAGGCTCTAATACAAAAATAAATCTATTAAATGGAAAAACTGTACTAAATTTGCCACTTAAAATGTGACCCATCATATCGAAAAGAGGATTGAGTCAAATTTGGTCAAAATGACCTCATTAAATTTTCAAATTCCTGGATTTAAAAGCTACATTTTGACACCTGGAACATTCTGATATCTTAAGTAGATCCAGAGATATGATATAATTTGTCTTGTTGGTCACAATGATACATTACTGCTTGGTCTAAATCCTAATTTTATGTACATTTATTGAGTAATTTTTGCTGTCAATTAGGGCTGCCACAATTAGTTGACTAGTCACGATTAAATCGACTATTAAAATAGTCGATATAATTGTTAATACTGTATAATCGTTATTATAGTTAAAATAGTCAATGTATATATATATTTTATTTATTTATTTATTTATTTATTTATTTATTTATTTATTTATTTAGTTAGTTAGTTAGTTATTGCTTTGTTTTTCTCTCCAAACTGCTTTGACACCTTCCACTGCCACATCTGCCTTTCTGTCCTTGACACACATGCACAGTAGTGGTAACTGGGGTAGGCTGTGGACGTCACAAGACATTATACAGACAGGCTCTGGTATCATGGCTACCTGACAACGGAGCTCAAAAGTGTGAGATCATTTTAAGAAAATGAAAGAGAAACCTGTGTAATATCTGCAGAGCAAAACTTGCCTTCCACAGCAATTATTTTTAGTTAGCATATAGCTAAAATCTAACGATGGTTATGTAATGGCAGCTGCATTCTGGTGTGATAAGCTCTATGTTTTATATTCAATTAACGTATGATCTGATTAGTCGACTACCGTAATCGAAAAAAATAATCAGTGATTAGTCGACAATAATAATGATTTGTGGCAGCCCTACTGTCAATATAAAGAGGAAAACTCAAATAGTATTTGTATATTAAGATTTCCCAGTTGTAAAAAGAAACAAAAACATTGCTAGCTCACAGGGAAAAATGCTAAATTTTAAGGCGTTTATCCTCAAAATCAAGTTTTTTGTTGCTACTATTCAAAAAAATACTTCAGAAAATTTTTTTAAGATTATATTTCAGACACTTCATTTAAATGATACATTGATAAGGCATTAATTCATTATATTTTAACAAAATGCTATTTTTGCACACGTTTAAATCAAAACTGTAAAGCAAATGTAGGATAAGCTGACAGATGGTYAGTCTGGATTTCCTCTAAGATGAGAATGTGACATGCTCTGTGCCGTACAACAAACATCTCATGAACCAGTTGGATTTTAATAAAACTAAAGAGGAATCCTCGGACATACATCTGCAACTGATCAGCTTATAGAGTCAGCATCATTCAAGATGGCTGCATCAGCTGCACAACCTTAGCAAAGCAGAATAGCTAYAACTTAGTTGATCTTCCAGATATTGAGCTAAAATTTGGTTTGATAATAGGTTTGAGTCACTCCAACACGTACTCCGAGCTCTGACACGTATCACACAATCATTATGTAAATCTTTGGCATACAAGGTGGTGGGTGGTTTGCAGTCCTTCAAAGAAAACAGGGTCTGTATGTAGGATATACACTCAGAAGTGTGCCGTAACCTGAGCCATTTCCCCAGTTTTCAGCTGCTTTATGTACCATTAGAAGGCTGAATTGGGTCATAGCAATTCCAGTGGACCCAAATTGGCCTTTTCCTTTGAGACAGGCTGTTTATGGCTCACAAGTCCTTCACTTCCTCTCCTTTTTCTCCTTCAGTTCTTCTTTTCCCTGACAGTGATTGCAGTTGTTTGGCTGCAGCGTGGCACAACAGCCATAATGAGCTGCGCTTCATCATTTCAGTTTACTGTAATGCTGAGTTACTGCCTAGAAAAAACAGTCTTCTCGTCTGTTTAATCTTCATTTGGCCAGCACAGACACACTCACCACCGTTTACATAACAATAAGTGGACTTTTTGAGGAACAGACATCCAGTGTCAGTGGATGCTAGTCATTGGGTGCAAAGTACAACTTCTTGAACATCAAATATAGTGTGATGGATTCAGCATGAACAGTCCCTCCCACACAGGAAATGTTTGTCTTCTTCCTTCTCTTGTTTGTTTTCTCTAATCGTGGGTGTGTTTGGTTGTAGTTGGAGACAAAGTGCCTGCTGACATCCGCATCTGTTCAATCAAATCAACAACTCTGAGAGTGGACCAGTCCATCCTGACAGGTGAGACTCTGCAAACTCCTTAATCCAATGACTCTCTCCTGTCGACACACAGTTATTTTTAAATACAAAATCAGTTTTACCTGTGTTAACAGGAAACAATGTAAAGGTTATAAATACTGACTGGGAAAATGTAGATTTTAGTTTATTACCATGTATCTGTTATTTTTTTAATGATTATTGGACATTTTGATAACACTTTATTTGAAGGGGTGTGCATAAAACTGACATGACAGTGTCATAAACATGAACATGAAGGAGGCTTCTTGAATGTTTATGACTGCTGTCATTAAGTGTGATTTGATCAWTTATGACATGTTTAATGCAAAGTTGACATTGTTTAAAATATCTTGGTTATGGCAACTTTACCAAGAAATCCTATGATGTGATACAATCACATGACGCTTTAAATACAATAAAAGAGTATCTCTTGACATTTCCACATCAGTCTGTAGAAAAATACTGTATGTGTTGTTCAAAATGGTATGTCCGAATAAACAGGAATTCACTGGATTTTTCCTTAAAACTTTATCTCAATCTTCTGACTCCAATCAGGTTCACAGTACAGCACACAGCAGGCCTCAGTCAGACCTTGGGCTGAACCAAAACACAACACAGAAGCCCTGCTCTGAACAGAAACTCTGCAAAACACTGACAATTTCTCTCTACTATATTTATGAATTGAGCTTATAATGTACATCTCTTCCTGGTTACACCTCTGGAGGTGTTACCTTTTACATCAGAACATAACTCATTTTTGTTTAGGCTAAAATAAAACACATGATAAGACACATCAACTCTTTGTCTGCTGTAACTTAAAGGCTGAAATGATCAGAAAGTATAAAATACAATACTGCGTCTAATATTCAGTTAATCAATCACAAAATTTCCTTCAAGTCAGAGACTGATATGACAAAAATGACATTTAAAACAGTGTCAACTTGTCATAATTCACCAAATGTCACTTAATGACAGCAGTCATAAACATTCATGAAGCCTCCTTCATGTTCAGGACAGGTTCAGGTCAGTCTTATGTACAAATAAATCTTCAAATAAAGGGTTTGAATGCCATCGCARCCTCTCTCTTCATTTGCACTTTTAGCTTGAAAGCACCTTAAACTGCAGTAATTATCCTGCGATAGCCCACTTTCTATTTAGACTGAAGGCTTCTTTGTGTCACAMACAAGATACTTACATCACATGGTCCTCACACACGCGCATCAACGTGAGCAGAACTGGAAAGGTCAGAGGTCAGTTGGCTGGCTCAGCTCCTTTGTGAATGAAGAGAAAACCAGTAAAAACTTAAGTTACTAGTTATTATTTGACAGCAGTTTTTGACCACAGCTGGTATGAAAGATTTTAAAGAGGTGAGTATTTTTTGCTGACAGGCCTGAGTATGAATTCARTCATTCTTGTAAATGTTATGTGACAGTTGGCTGTGTAACGTGTACCTGTCTGTTGAATCATTTAACCTGATGTCCTGTGTTGTCCTTCCAGGTGAGTCTGTCTCTGTCATCAAACACACCGACCCCGTCCCCGACCCTCGGGCTGTCAATCAAGACAAGAAGAACATGCTCTTTTCTGTAAGAGAAAATATGCACATTTCCTACAAYTTGCATGCTACTTTATATTTCTTTTTTAATATTTATTTATTATT